TACTTGATTTTTTGCGACGTTACTACAACGTTGCTGCAACGGCCCATTGCCGGGCGGGATGGTTAGTAACTTTTCATAACACTTTCTATCTGATTCTCTCATGGCAAAGTTTTTCAAAATTAAGTTCATGGTGATCAAAGTAAAGGTTAAATTAATTTGACTTCAATTTGGGAAAAAGAATTTCATTTTTTCCTTGGAAATTTTTTGAGAGCAATTTACGGCTATTACAGTTAAGATGATAATGTCACTGTGGCAAAATAGCCCAGGCCTGGGATCCAACAGCTCATAATTTGCATCAAAATTTGTTCATGCAGTGTGTTCAAGGAAATTTTTAAGAAAAAATAATTCATTTTCAATTTCATGACTGTCTTTTATTATCTATTACTTTTTTGTTGGTCTCATCGGAAACGGTTCTAAACCTACTTTTGAAAAAGAAATATAATTTTTTTACAACCTACGGCAACTTTTTTTTCCATTGGGAAGAAAGCACATGAATCTATATTTTTTATTGGTATGTAATACTCTTTAGTTAAATCTACAAATGCATCAGTCAAGTCACAGAAAAACTGGCTGTTAAGTTAAAAATTCTTAGCTATTTTGCACAGAAGTAATTCTTACAATGTTTAATTTTTTGGATCTTCCTCTGTTTCTCATGTTGGCATTATGCATCTATGCACTTGTTATTTTTTACTGGAAGTCTTATTTTATTTGATAGCTAACTGTGAATTGATATCTGTTCAGGTATCCACTGTGAATCGAGATGTCCTATCGGCTGGTATGGAGACAATTGTAAGCAGCAATGCAATTGCATGCATGACAGCTCTTGTGACCAATTCACGGGAGTCTGCACATGTGCCCGTGGTTGGAATGGAGGCACTTGTAGTCAACCTTGCTTGCCGGGAACTTACGGTTACGACTGTGAAGAAGATTGCCTATCAAGAGGACTTAGTATGTACCTATATTTATTCCTCTTTCTACTTAGGCCAGGAATCATGTTTCCTCAAAGCGTGTTTAAGCATTACACAACAATCATGTCATCACCCTCAGGTCACAATATCACAAGCGTCACCTCAATCGCTAAGGAAAACCACCAATCTGCAAACTGACAATTTTGCAGGACAGAGAAAAAAAATTCACCATTTTTGCAATTTTGAGGTCAAATTAAGATATGTTTGGCAACGTAGCACCAAAGTGTAAGTGGCGCTCTTGAGACTCTGGGCTAATGGTGACGATGTGGGAAACTGTTGTAATAAGGGCATTGTGAGGAGGTAGGGCAGAGCAACACAAAAAGTGTCATTTGAATTTGTATGAAAACCTTTCGAGTAGTCGTATGTTTGTGGGTGTAAAAATAATCCAAACCATCAATGGTGGTCATTTGCATGTTTTTTAAATTTTTAAGTACAGCAATATCTTGCCAAGTTTAACTACAATTTAGACAAAATCCTGCTAAGAGACAAAAATTTCCTCTGTCCTTAGAATCCTCCATTAGGAGTAGCCCTCTGATTAAAACGGATTTGTGCCTCTTGTTGCGGAGGAAAATCTGCTCCAGCCAAGAAAAGTTAACCTCAATGAGTCAATCTATTCCTCTTGTTGAAATGTATTTTTTTATTTATTCTAGAAAGTGAAACCTGTGACCACGTAATGGGACAAGTGAAATGTCGACCTGGCTTTGCTGGTGTTAGTTGCGAGAACCCATGTCCTGCCGATTACTATGGCCAGGATTGCCTAGAACGCTGCCACTGTAAGAACGGAGCAGACTGTCATCATATAACTGGTAAGATCTCATACCATATTTTCAAATTTGATTTTTTTAACAAGAATCTGGCACCTTTCAAAAACAAGAAAGGTTCAGGAATTGAGAGTAAATTTTTAGGAATTAATTATTTTGTCTTAAAGTTACTTTTTTGTCAACTTTTTATAACTATATTTCTATGATCAAAGTTTGAAACCACCTATCTCTGTTTGCAGCGTTGTAGACTTCCTGTCATACTTCATTTTTCTATCGAAAACTAGTCCATGTAGTTTACTGAAAACTTCCTTGATTTATTTTCTCTGTTGGAAAAATATTCTGTAAAAATTTCGAGCTAAAAAGTTAGCATGTCCCATTTTGAAACATTGCATCGTTAAGACATGACTAAGGCTAGCAAATGAGTTGGAAGTTTATTGTCACCTTTTATTGCAGGTGTTTGCCAGTGTTCGCCAGGCTGGACTGGAACTTCTTGCGAAATACCGTGTCCTGATTACACGTGGGGCCATAACTGCACGCAGCAATGTCAGTGCCGCAACAAGGAAAAATGCCGTCCGTACGATGGAGAGTGTAAATGCAACCCTGGTTGGATGGGAAAACGCTGCAATGAGCGTAAGTCTTCTGCTGAAAATTTTCTTTTTTGTGAAGTGCCATGTTTAAATTATCATTTTGGAAAATTAAGATGAGAGTCTTTTGAGATCAGTGTTCAAAACTCACTTTTGAGTTTTAGGAGCCATGTGGCACATCAAGCCTGATTTTTAGGCGCCATTGAAGATTTTTTAGGGGCCAAATTGACTTTTTGCCTACTTATTACGGCGCATTTAGTGAAAAGTTAGACGCAAGATGTTTTCGTAACAGAGCTAGTAAGAAGCTGTAAATTGGGGAAGACAAAAGCACTAAGGATGAAATCGTGAAGAATAGAAAAAGCTTTCACTTGTAGTGCTGAAAATTTCTAATAATCACCTAATATGAAAATTCAGATTTTTAGGGGGCAATTTTTAGGGGCTGCGTCGGCACAGAGCCTTCATTTTTAGGCGCCATGGCCGATTTTTTAGGCGCATTGGCGCCTGCGAGTTTCGAACACTGCATGTAGCATTTGTTTGTTCCTTTTTATAACGGACTGAGCGAAGTAATGTAAATTGATCACGTATTCACGACTTTAAGTTCTCCTATTAGAAAATTAAGAAATGACTATCAAGTGATGAGATGTCTTTGATGAAAGATGATCATTTGCATCGAGAAGTCAATTCTGGAACTGTCAGAAGCTGAAGTTTGTTGATTGCAATTGTGCATAATCCTCATATGTCTCAGCTCTTAAGTCTGAAGAGCTTTTTCAACTTCAAGTCCTGTTCAAATTTTCCTATTCAGTTTTTAGAGGTAATGGACAGGCAATCAAATTGTTTTTCAGTCCATTAATCCTGCCTGAATGTATTAAAAATGTAATCTATTTTTATTTTTTTCCCCCCTCCAGGCTGTGGGGAAGGATTCTATGGTCTGCATTGCATGGAATCTTGTCAATGTCGTGAAAATTTCATTTGTCATCCGGTGTCCGGATGTGCGTGCAGATATGGATTCACGGGTAAGTAAATTGCACGTCCCCAACATGGGTTTGCGGAAAAAGAGAAAACTTTAAATTGCTGGTCATAGATAATTTTTTTCAAAATTTTTAGCGTCAAGTCTGAAAATGATAATCAATTTTTTCGATTACACCAGGATTTTCTAGAAAATTGCAAATTCTCCTCAATACTGGGCTTTTCTGTAAAAAATTCAATTCTCTGAGGGACTGATAGGTGAAGGAAAAAAATATTTAAATCCTTTCTGATTCAGCAGAAGAAATGGTGGGATATATCCTGCCAGGACAGTTGTACTAACTGAAAACCAAAAAAATCTTCATTTTGACGACGGTTTTTGGTGGATTTTACTCGAGCCTGAAAAGATTGTTGGACTCCGATCTGTTGCCATCTAGATCAGTCGACTTACAAGTAAGTTCACCCTTTTGGACTGATTTGAAAGTGATGAACAAAATGATAGATACCGAAGTTAAAGAGAAAATGGAGGGATCCCATCGGTGTAAGCAAGTGATTTTTAGAACAAAGGAGATAAATAATAGACTAACTAACGGCAATCCATGAGAGGCCTTATAGTTAGTTCATTGATTTCCCCTTCAGTCTTTAACAACCAGCCATTTCAACTGATAAGATTGCTTCAATTTCCTGTAGTCTTCTTGGTCTATTGCTTCGTCCATCAGTTTTAAGATTCAGCCCCCATTTCTGGGGTGCGTAGGCAACGGCAATCAGATATTCAGAGATGTAGTACAGTTTCATTTTCTGTGCTTTCATCTGATATAATTTATGATGCTTAATATGTTAATTGTTTTTCTCATCGGTAAATATAATTTAATCCATTTCGTTTTTTAGGCGAAGACTGCACAACAGAGCTAGTCCAGGGTCTGGGCGGCAGAGACGGCACGAACAGTAGCAGCTCAATAGGTATCATGCTAGGACTTTTCGTTGGTGTGTGTTTGGTGGGAGTGATCATCGCTCTTTGGATGTATTACAGGAAAAGAGTCGAAAACCTTAAAACGGAAATAGCGCAAGTCCAATATATTGCTGATCCTCTTAGCTCACCAGGTAATTCTTACTTTTATTCAGCAGTTTATTATATCTCTTGTCTAGAAAATGAAACTCTGGCAGAACCTTCATAATTTTACAAAAATTGAAATATCTTTCCACTTTATTGATACACTCATTCCTTACTTTTTTCTATTTTCTTTATTTTTGTCAATGTTTTTTTACTCGACACCATCATTTAGTAGAGGCATACACAGAATACAACTACTATACAGATATAGTTTCCTATCATAGTTATATTGTCAGTATACATATAGTTCATTATTATATTAGTTATTTTCGTGCTGTACAGGTGTATTTAGGAAAAAAAAATTCTGGAGAATGAGGAGAGTTGATGTAAAAAAATGAAATTTTTTCCTATCGCTTATTTTTTCTCTACCTTCTGATTTTTCGTGATTATCTCAATGAAAATATTGGAATGTTGTAATTTTTAAAAGGAGTAATTTTGTAGTTACCTTTAAAATTAACTGAGAAATGCTTTTTCTGCGTAACGGACTTCCCTAGATTGTTTGTCTAAAAGGAGTGGGAATTTTTTCTCTCAAGAGTCTGGCAGCTATTTTTTTCAAGTCTGTGAAAATAAGAATTTCCTCATAATTTTGCGTGATTGAGTAATAAATGTTACAACAAATAAAAGAAGCTTTGTCTCTGTCAGAGGTATTTTTTAAGATCATTGTAATAATTGTTATATTGTGCTTCCTTGACAGATCGGCATCATTTCGACAACCCAGTCTACTGTTATGGTGCTGCCAGCAGCGGTAATACGGATAGTCTTTTAAGTAACAATATGACAATAAGAAACAATTTAAGAGATCGTGAAAAACCTACGAACCTTGAAAGGCAGAAACTTGGATACTCTGACGATGATCAGTCGGACACTGCAAGCAGTCGAGGTAACTTCATGTTTTCTTCTTCTTTTTTCCAATTGAAATTTCTAATTTCCTGGGAGGAGACGTAGGGGACGCCCAGTGAGAGGTTGGCGACAGGGGGTGTTAAATGAGATGGGAGTGTCAACTCCCTGATGACCTGTGGGAAGACTGGGCTTTGTGGCGATTAGGCGTCGTAAAGCGCCAAAGAGCGCTATAAAAGCGATTTATATGTATGTAAATTTCTAATTGAACTTGAGTATCATTGAATTAGATCTAACTTGATTTTATGTCGCTCTAATTGCTCTAAATGTTTTGCAGGAGCGTATGGAATGTCCGAAACTTATCTGAAGAACAGAGATGCGGATTTGACAAATCCAAATCTGTACCATAGTATCGAAGATTTCAAGGAACATCTCTACGATGAAATAAAGAACCTAAAACCTCCTGGTAAGTACTCTATCTTGTTTTTCTTTGAAGTCTTTCCATCTGAATACCAATGAGAAACCTCTTTGCTTAAACGCTGCATGTAATTTACCGACAATTAATTTTTTACGAACAGATTGAAGTTTGACACAGAAGTTGTTTACACAATGAGTCGGTGATTTTGCCAACATACGTTTAATTTCATCATATGTAGAGCTGAAATCCTTATTATAGTAGAAAATAGCACATTTGAGCACAAATCTTCTCTGAAAGAGATATGCTGTTTGTTGCAACCTAGTTACGACCAGTCAGGAAGGTAACTGTAAACATATTTTGGGACATCTAGTCCTGAAATTATGCATTCATAGTTGCGACCCTGATTGGTAGTAACTAGTGTTGCAACAAACAGCATATTTAATTGAGGAAAGATTTTCCCCTCAAGTGAATTTTTTTGCTCTACAGTATGAATCTCAGTTCTATATTAGATTAACGTTTGATGATTTGTTCTCTCTCAGTGACAATTTTTTAACAAACGCCATTTCAATGGTTGAAGCAAAAAAGTTTTATCTGAATTGAAAAATCGGTCTGTCTATCTAAGTTTCTTTTTTCTTTTTTTCTTTGAAGCTTCCAGTCGATGAGTATGGTGAGTGACATTTTTAAAGAACTTAAGGTATCGGTGTTTTCAAATAGCTTCTCTCTAAGTAAACCTTGCAAAACAAGTGACCTCAAAAATGATCTTAGTCCTGAAGTATTAGTCGAAACTTGTACTATTAGACTCTCATCTTTTTTAAATTATAAAAACGTTACTTACCTCCTATATTCACCAAAGTCTTTGTTTGTTATGGAGAGGTTTTTCCCAGCCTCATCAAGGCTATTCTTAAAAAACTCGTAGGTTAAAATTTTGGCTCATTTTCTCCTAACACAATTTCCTGTTCGGTTTTTCCTGATTTCAACATTAGTGCACTGCTCCCCATAGTCATCGTTACAATCATTTTGTCTATAACCTGGAAAAGAGGGAAACATAAGATTCGTCAGTAGAGAATAAATCTTCAGGAAAGTCAGAGAATGTGTCATGGAATTGGTCTTGAATATCAGGAAATTCTCCTTTCTCACCTCTGAGACTTATTTTTTTTTTAAAACATTTGGCGATCCACATCGACTCAGTGCTGCAGAATGATCCCTAAGATGGAAATTTCAATATAATTTCTCTTAACTCCGATGAAAATTTCAAAGAATCTAGGTGGAACTGAAAGTGAAATTCAAGATTTTACAAGAGAATAACAGTCATACCACAGTCAGGGACAACCAGAAAAGCTAGGAAATGTCAGCGAATTCTTTAAAGTCAGGGAAAAGATGTGTCAGGGACATCGGTAAATCATCCTCCTTTGCAATTTCGAATGGGTTTGATGTTTTGAGCAACACACAGTGCGCAAAAACTATTTCAAATTATTGATTTTGACCATCCTTCATACTCTCAAATATCAGAAAGTTTGTACAAAAATGTGTCTGGGAATTTTATTCTCGGAAGTTTGTGGTAACCGTTAATTTACCTCCTAAAAACAAGGTCTGATCGAGAATAAGATACTGTAAAAATTCTAGACCCTTTAATTTCACCCTTTTCTCCATTGTAATGCCTCTTTCTAAAGCACAACATTCTTATTTTCCAGTGGAGGAAGAGTACGATCATTTGGACTACACGAGGGCAGGCAGCTCCTTGAAACCTCACTACCAGAAAATGGCGAATTCGCTCAGAAGCGAGAGCAGTGACCCCTCGTCAGGCGGTGAAAACAGCTCGAGTAGTTTAAATAACCAGAGCACCCGAAAAGACTTGTAATTTTTAGTCATAGCATATTGTACGTATCTGCATTTTATACCAATAAGTGTTTCATAGTTGGACCTACTGTGAAAGGAATCTAATCAAAATAGTCAGGCTGGGCTCTCGCCGATTTTCTGTAAAAATCTAACGTAAAAGCTAGCTGTGTATCTCACTAAATGCTGTCTTTTACCGCACCTTGGAGGCTAGGCAAAGTAATTCAAGTAGTATCAAAATTTGATCTTTAGGATTCTGTGATACACAGCGCTCTGACGTTTCCCTCTAATTTGGAAAACTAGGGTGCAGTACGAAACATTTTTTCTGATTGAATCAAATCTTGGGCTCTCAATAAATTGCAAATCTCTGATGCAAATTGCAACATTTTTAAATTTCTTACCTTATTTCATGTTTTTGAAAGAAAATTAGCTACAATATGTCCTCAAAATTTTCTGCGAATATTTTTGAATGAGTGAAAATAATTCACAAAAAATATATAGGAAAGCTGTTGGTTGGTTTTCTTCCTCAAACCATTGAGGATGAGCAGAGACTTGCAACATCGCAATTTCAGATACATTTTCTTTGACTTAGCCGTTGACTGCTTCTCTCAAGGACCTTTTAAATGAATTTTTGTCTTGCTACTCAAATTTTAAAATGTCCCAAATAAATGTTCGACTATTTAAATGGAGGCCCACTTTATTCAATCAGATGAAGTAATTTTGTAATCTGCAAAATATTGACAAGGTGCTGGATCGCAGAATAGTCCTGCAAAGTAAATTTTTATGTATCTACTTTTATAACCATCCCATTAAATGTAATTTCAATGGGAATCAAAAATACTCAACATAATGTAAGAGTTGGCGAGAGATACCTCACTGTACATAGGTTACAAAAGGTTTATTTATCGATTATTTTGTCTCAAATCGAGAGAGACATACACATGAGAGTCGCTTTTATAGAGCTCTCTGGCGCTCTGCAACGCCTAACTGCCACAAAATTTGGTAGGTACTCCCACAACCAGTCAAAAAAAAAGAAAGATAAAGGTAGAACGTCAGGCAAGATTTTTAGGTGTCCCGCATGAATTAAAAGTTATAGAATGAAAAATGTTTGGTCTTTGATGAAATACATAATCATACATAGCAACATTTTTTGAAAACTTTCAATCCTACCATGCACATTTTTTTTTCAAGCATGAAATACTTCTGGTTTTACTGTTTAATTTTTATGTGCAAAACTCATATCATACAAATCCATGATTTCTACCTTTTAAATATTCGTCCGTTTTGTTTAAGAGGAGATGTATCCTTTTTTAAAATCATAAATCAATATTAGGCTTTTAAGACCAAAATTTTTATAATATTTTAAAGTGTTTCGACTCAAATTCCTGCTGAGATGGAGTTATTTTTCCACGGATCTCATCAAACATGTCAAAAAGCTGGCCAAACTTTTAGTTTCAGACTGAGAGAGAAGATACCTGACCTTGGTGAATTTGCTATGAGATTAATTTGCCATTGAATCAAATTGAAAATTTTGAAGAATTTAAGCAGGATTTTTCCATTCTAAGTATTTGATATCTGCATTCAAAAATTGCATTCCTCATTCTTCAAATTTTGTTCTCTATCCGTAAATTCTGAAATTTTTTGCTCACATTTAAGTTTTGAAATGTTTGCACCAGGGCTGCTGTATTTTTTTAGGTCTGAAGCTTAAACTTTGCCCAGATATTTGACCTCATAAATGCAATTCATCAAGCTCAAGTTTGATGCCAATCCAACCCTGAGACAAATCACCTGAGGTGGAAGCATCGTTTTCGAATGCATGTGCATAATGGTAAAGTCCAAGCGAAATAATATGTCAATCGACTCTCAAATAGAAACGTAAGATTCGTCATTTTGATTTTTGCACTCCCTTTCATTTCTAGAAATGAAAATGACTGGTTCTCTGTTGTTCTCTAAAAGTTGCTGACCAATTCAGCAATAACTACGATGAAGAGTTATAGAAAGGACCAAAAGCCCTCATAAATATAAAGCCTGTATGAAGGCCTTTTAGTCAGAAATATTCAGTCTCCATCGGGATGGATTCTTTGAGGTCCAAACAGCAATGATGGTTAGTGCAGTAAATGCCTTCAGAGAAAAGGATCTCTGTGAATTTTGCACCGAATTTAGGAAAAAATGAATACTTAAGAGTGATGGGACGTCATTTTGGAAGTAACGTACATCTATATTTTAGCTGCATCAGTTTTTCAGAATAGGTTTATTGTTTAATGGGCCTCTGAACAAGATATTAATGAAAGAATCCCTCAGTGTGTTTTCTCTTCAAAATTTCACGAGGGAAACGAGACACGCAACAGGACGTCTGGAAAGAAATTCCTAAACAGAATGGGTTTATAAGATTGATTAAAAAGCAAAAATACAGATAACGTTGCTTGTATAATCTATTTTATTTCATCTGTGTCAAAAATAAACGTAAATAGCTTATTGAATAATTTCCTACGCAAAATTTTGAAGAAAAACTTGTGACTTCTCTTAGTTCAGACCTTGACTAGTGACCCATTATTTGAAAATAATGGAGTTGTGGCGTTCCTCACTTAAAAGTCTAGATGCTGAGGTAGGTGTTTCTCTTAGTTTGATCTCCGCTGCTTTTATTTTTAATAGCGCCAGCATTTGTTAATCATGATTGAGGGAAATTGATACATTTTTTAATTAATTCTTCTGAAATCCAGGATCCTTTTCTCTGGAGCAATAATTGGTTCTCATTCCCAAAGATGCTGTATATATTGTTTCAACCAAATGTTATTTTTTAATTTTAAGTGTAGTTGTGAAATTATTTTTATCTTAATCGCTGTTTTTACGTCTCGTTATATGATTACATACCTTGTAAATTGTTCGGAACCTCAAATGTGATATTTATTACATAAGTTTTTTTAGAAATTATTTTAATTCATCTGTCTTATTTTAATTGTATATTGCCTATGTTTTTTTATGTCCTCTCCTTCTTCTCAAGCTCAAGAGGGAAGTGATTGTCCCTGCAACTTGCCTCTCAGACAATTTTGAGATGACTGTTAATGTCTTTCATTTAGAAGGAAGGAAGAAAAATATTGCGTGATGTTACTTCACCATGAAGAAATGACCCCAAGTTTTAAATTCTAAATGCAATTTGTTCGAAGCAGAGTTTTAGACTGTTGTAATATGGTCGCTAATTTTTTGGAACATTGTTTTGTTTTTGTCACTGAGCATTGCTAGCTTGGTGCCTTTTAGCAGACTCTCCAAGATTCACTTACAAGGGGAGCTTCCCAAGTGTAACCGGAATTTCGAGTTGAAATTTCGCATGAAGATACTAGAGATGATTTTAGGGATGCCGTATTTTTTCGTTTTTTCGAATGGGGTCGGGAAAGCCCTCAAAAAAAGGGCTAAAGATGCGGAAAAAACGCGTGCGCTAGCGGCACAAGGTAAACATAGGTGATAGAGGCTCACCATTCTTATCAGTTCCGCATGGCCAAACGGTAGCGTGCTCGCCTCGCAAGCGGGAGGTCGTAGGTTCGGATCCTGACTACAGCCCGTAATTTTATTTTACTTTATGCTTGTTCATTTTTCACTTACTTTATTTTGCACCATTCTCTCCGAAAACCGACTTATGAGGTAGAACACGTAGTGACTGAAGATTTTTTACAAATGCTGATAAAAACTCGAAGTTTCCTCGGATTTAAACGTTATATATAATTGAATAAACAAAAACTCTAAAACTCACCAAATTTCGTCGCCAAGCTGAATTTTCGAAGTATCAGTCGAATCTGTATCTGTATCTGACTGATACTCCGGAAATTCAGCTTGGCAACGAAATTTGGTGAGTTTTAGAGTGTTTTGTTTATTCAATTATATATAACGTTTAAATCCGAGGAAACTTCGAGTTTTTATCAGCATTTGTAAAAAATCTTCAGTCACTACGTGTTCTACCTCATAAGTCGGTTTTCGGAGAGAATGGTGCAAAATAAAGTAAGTGAAAAATGAACAAGCATAAAGTAAAATAAAATTACGGGCTGTAGTCAGGATCCGAACCTACGACCTCCCGCTTGCGAGGCGAGCACGCTACCGTTTGGCCATGCGGAACTGATAAGAATGGTGAGCCTCTATCACCTATGTTTACCTTGTGCCGCTAGCGCACGCGTTTTTTCCGCATCTTTAGCCCTTTTTTTGAGGGCTTTCCCGACCCCATTCGAAAAAACGAAAAAATACGGCATCCCTAAAATCATCTCTAGTATCTTCATGCGAAATTTCAACTCGAAATTCCGGTTACACTTGGGAAGCTCCCCTTGTTAGTCAAGCAGAAACGGTGTATTCTTTTGTGCTTTTTTCAAAGACTTGTCTTGATTATCAGTGCAATTTTATCATTCTTATCACCAAAAATGTGTTTTTTTCTTACTGTTTTGTCGCCCAATAATTGTGATTTATGAAATTCAGTAACTGTTTTGTCAAAATACTAAAGGCGTGTCTCTGATGAACACGACAGCTTGACAATTTCTGATCGGTTTTGCGAAGTTTTGCAGCTTGATGCTGAAATTAAAAAGTTTTCAACTTTGCGCAAGCATCGCGTAAATTCCAATTAGGGCCATAACACATTTGCTCATGACACATTTGTCATGAGCTGAATCGAACTTTGAACTATAGCAGAAAAACTTGAAGGTCCAATGTCACTGTTGAACAGGAAATATAAGCTGTTGTACCCATTGGAAACCAGGTCTCATTAAAATACTTGTTTTTGGTTGTATGTCAAAAATAACTGTGAAGTTGCACAGTCTTCACAACAAACAAATGTGATTTCTGTGTTTTTTTTGGTACGGTTTTATAATTAATCTTCCTGTGAAACCTACTCATGTTGTTGATATATTTTTGTGTAAGATATATTTGTATATATTTAAATAAGGTTCTTATTATAATAAGCCGATTAATCTAGCCACTGCAAATTCTTCCCATCGGTCGTGAAGCATAGGAAATAGAAACTGCAGGAATGGTCCACAAGACAAGGTGTAATTTAGGTAAAAACGTTACATGTTTTCTTTTCAAAATTTTGGGCAGACAATCCTCACAAAGAGAAGTTCGAGAGTCAACTCCTGGACAAGATATTAACAAGTATTTTTAACATGGATTAAATGGAGGTTAGATTACATGAATGACATCATTTGTATTTATGCCATTTAACCATTTCTTGTTCAGGAGTTGATATACAGACTTGTCGTCGTGTGATTCATTTTGTTTTCATGAAATTTTGAAAAGAAAGTGTGATGCATAGTGCTACATATAATTCATACCTTGTCTATAGACCCATTGAAAATTGTCTAACGGGATACTTCTGTGTATAAAAATCCTTTTCTTATCTCTCCAAATTTTTTTTTTATTCTTTTGGGTGCAAATAATTCATTGAGCTCATGCACAGGAAATACTACATTTTTTTGGCAAGAAACTCAAAGTTCATCTAGATTTTTGATCTGTTCAAGGCAGTTAATTGAACACTAATTCCGTGAGATGAATCAACTTAAAGTGAGTTGTTTTCTTTTGCAAATATTTGCCCATTCATGTAAAATATTTTTGCATGATAAGTAAAGGCCGCATGAAATGAAGCATTTAAAAAACATCAGAATAGAGCTATAATTTTGTAGCAAGTTCTTGATGTAGCATGAAGAGCCGCGCTCTTTATCAGACTTTCGGCATGAACACTCCTTTAAGTGTGCCTGACAAAGCAAAAGTGGAGATGGCGATTTCAAGAAAAAATAAAAGTGATTCCTTCTAGAAAAGAAAGTTGATACTTTTCACAAAACCTGTTTGATTTTTTACAGAAAGTAATTATGTTCTACAAAAAATCAACTTTACTTTTTACAAAATGTCAATTTTATTCATTTTAACGAATCAATTTTGTTATTTTAAACGAATCAATTTTATGTATTTCAACAGATTACTTTGATACTTTTCAAAAAATCAATATCCTTTAATTATTGGCAGCATAAAATCGATCTCCTAAATTTTTGAGTTTCGAAAAGATTCTTGTATCGCGTCCGCATTGTAGAGTTTAGACGCTCTCAAAGGACTAACCATAAGAATTCTTAACTTTCAATTTTTTACTGATAAAATCAAATCCGGTTAACAATTAACCTATGAAAGCGACACAATACAATACTTTTGATTATTTCCACCAAAAATTGATGTCTCCAAGTAAGCAATTCAAAATTGTTATACCCAATTTTCCCTCTCCAAATTATATATGTTTGAATCTCGATGCTGTTAATTCACTCTTAAAATGAGTTTATGTGTTGTCTAAAGTCTTAATTCGTCTTCCAGTGAGAGTTGAAATAACCCTCTAAAAATTCTGTAGTTATTTCTTCCTGTAATTTGTTGACCATATCGAGTTATTTACCAAATCTTCTGTTAATTTCATCATCGAAAAATTTGTGTGATTCCAAATGATTAGCATATCTACTTTAGCTTCTTTTAGATCTTCCAACTGGTTTTATATCGATCAATTTTCCTGTCAGGAAATTTTTTAAGAATTCTGTACCTGAGGTGATACAAAGAAATGTTATTCGTATTTTTTATAAATTTTTTATTGCTTTTTAAAATCTTTTCAGTAATCAAAGCATTTATGATGAGTCTCTCTTCTCTCCATCCGTGGGAGATTTCACTGCACTTTTCCTCGGTGAAAAACAACGAATTTTCAATTTTTCTTCCGCTGTTTCTGATGATTTGTCATTTCTCTGATGATGTCTTTTTGAAAATTTCCAAAGTGTCGTAATGTAAATATGTGTACAGTTCTATAACACATGTAATTTTATTAAATAAATGTCATATCATTTTTTTAAATGTTTATTGTTTAATAAAAAATAGTTGAGTAAACTTGCCTGTTTCTTTCTGATTTTTCCAAACCATAATGCTCTCTAACACTCAAAATTTCCCATTCGTTGTTTAAAAAAATAATGAAAGCCCACAAATTTTTACGTTTTCCGTTTCGAATTCTTATCACAGATATTAGATTCTATTGCTTGCAGATGTATTCTTTTTTTTATTTTTTTATATATCTATTTTTTTTTCTTTTAGTAGAAGTCCCCTGACAATTTAAACAAATAAATTAATCAAGTACTTACTTAAAAATAGATTCAGTGTGAATGATGAAAGAACTTTTGAAGCCATGTCTAAATTACCAGACCCGTTATTTTTTAGCATCTAAAAATCTCCTTTTTAACATTCCTTAAATTTAGAGTACTTTTTCCAGAAGATTGAAATTCATGAAGACTTTTAGAACGAAAAGAATTTGCAAACAAATTTGAATTTCAACGAAACAAATCACTATCAAATGGTTAATCAATACTAAGGCAAATAAACTACAAAAATCTGAGATTTTCAAACATTGCAATGGTGGTAAGCTTTTTTTTTACTTCAGTCAGCTATATCTAGTTTCATGGAAGAATACAGTTTCACATTTTTTACTTTGAATATGGATTGCATTTTGCAAAAAGGAACCAAGAGCATTCTAATACCACTAAGATTATGCATTTTTTTTACCTTGCAAATATGTACTGATTATTTAAATAAGTTTTCTATTTACTCCCAATAAACTATGAATTTAAGACAAAAATTACTTTTGTAAATTTAATTAGCATGATTTCAGCACTTTTTTGCAATGAATGTAAGTTGCACAATCCCAGCAACATGTGTCGACCTCCTATGGTGTAGTGGTTGTAGCGCTAGCTCTATGATCCGGAGGTCCCGGGTTCGATTCCCAGCCAGGCGACCCGAGTTTGATGGTCTCAGACAATGGTCGCCTGGGACTGGTTGTAGGGGATGGAACTAAAGCGCAAGGATTAGCCCTCGTCGTGGGCCATTTGAAGTATCCAAAAAAAAAAAAAACATTGGAACGCTTGTGGTTCCTTTTTGCTAAATTCAATCCATGTGTTCCTGAACTCAGTTCATTCAAAAAGTCATTTTTGCAAAATACTCAATCGCGTGTCAGAAGAAGAAATCATCCATCATCGACAAAACAGGATGGATTATTTGAATTTGGCGGCAAGGACAAACTTCACCGACATGAGCGAACGACCCCTTAATTACTCAACGCTGATTGGTCGATCGGCGTCGAAAAGTAAAAGGAGGGGGAGAGTGGTCCAGGCAGGTCCTCCTACCTCACCTCTCTCCTCCCTCTCTGCGGTAGTTGAACTCCGACAGGTCCTGAGAGCGCCTCGCCGTTCCTCGCTCTCTCAGCATTTTCGTGTGTTTACAATCAGCTGTTGCATCAGTGTGAGTGTCTACCGTCGAAAGTTTTGGCTTTATCAAGAACTTTTCGTGCCCATTTTTCACACTCGTGTTGTTTAACTTCAACTGTGCGCAAGAAACAATTTTGAGTGTTGTACTTTTCGGCGGAATTTTGTTTTGTGTTTGTTTTCATCGTGACAACTGACCACAGACTCAGTGCCACTGACCTTTCCAGCGTTTCGTTTGTTTAGTTTCGCGTGGAAAGTTTCGCTGTTTGGATTTGTGGATTTTCAAAATCTTTGTCGGATGTTTTGGAAATTTATCTTGGCTTTCTATCAGGTGAGCTTCTCAGATGTTACTAGCATGTCTATTCATATTCCACCCACTTCAAAATACTTTTCTGTCTACATTCTCATGTTGACCTCATCTGCCATTCACTACTGGTTACTGCATCTTGTCGTGATGTTGTCTTCACAAGTTGAGAGAGTTGTCATCTACAATACTCATCTTGCAGTACATTATCTTGTCTGCGTATGGTGGGTTAATACAACATTGATTCATTGAACTAACATGCTAGAGATAGAAACATACCTCAAGTTGTCTGGTGCAGAGTTCATGGAAAGGCTGTCATCCACGCTTTCATTTGGCAAAGTAATGTTTCGTTTGAAACTTTTGGCGCTTTGCAATCCACGCTCAATATTCGGGAACAGCATCTTCTATGATGGTAGAAAAAGTAACGAACAATCAATCCGACACACATCTGAATTGTGATCGCCGACTTAGTCCTCTCTAGAAGAGCTTTTGCAGGAGTCTACTCTTAAAAACGTACCTAATCGTTATCTGACAAGCAGCTGCTCTGATGTTTGTTCATTTAAGTGCGTGGGTAACCAACAGAAATGCAGAAAATGTGAGATACCAGGTCTCATAAAGAAGGGCACTCAGTCAAACTTTTCACCCGCTTGCAAAGTTCATGGCACTGCAAAACAGGCATCAATCACTGCGCATTCTATACCTTTTCGCCAAATATATAAGAAATGAAAGAATTAGGTGAGGGTTCCCTTCTTCCAAGCTACTCATAGGATCCTTGCGTTCTTCTGCTCCGCTACAGATAGTATTCTTCGATTAATCAAAGTTTTCTCTGGTGTTCTATTTTTCAACAGAAAAAAGTAACATCCAGCTCTTAAATTTTGACCATTTACTCTATCCTCACATTAATTTTAAAAAATTATATTCTTTAGTTCTGTGTTGAAAAACTCTGTTAAAGTATACGCGAAAGGAAACTCAATTGCAGTTTTTTTTTCTTTACCTAATTTAAGTATTCACAAATGTTTGAAAATTAAATTGTCAAATATACTTACAATGGTTTCAGATTTTTTTACTTAATAACATTCTCAGGGAAGGTTCCTTTTTTAGTAAATTTTATTTGATTTTTTTTTCAAGAGTCCTTCAAAGGAACTTTTCAATGGTTACTCCTTACCAATTTGTTGTGTCCTTAGTAACCACAACCGTTGAAAGGCACTTCCCAAAAACTTAGAAAAATTTTTTTTATTGAGACTTACTTATGTCTTATGAAACAAGTTCTGAATCTTTTACAGTAAAATTCAGGTACTAAGTAAAGTTTTTTTTTAAAAATAAAAATTAATTTTCAAAGGGAAAGAAGTGAGTTTGTCAAAAAATTGAGTTTAAATTTTATAACTTCAACAGAGTTCAATAAAAGGGCAGGTTAGAGCCAGTCAAAATCTGATCATGTTCAGAATGTGATGATGCCGAATCCCATGCACCGTGTCAAGTCAAAAGGCCGCATGAGCATTCAATTATTGCCTAATTTCCTAGGGGTGCAGAAAGTTGTTTGCTTTCACGTTTTTTTCCGTTTTTCCAGGTGCTTTTACATTATTTTACCCCTTTTCAGGTGCCTTCACATTTGATCCGCGATCGGCCACGACCGAGTACTTACTGCACCCCTGATGACATTTCCTCCCTTATTGAAGAAAAAACTCCGGCCGTGGAAGCCATACTTACGGGCTGTAGACATACCGTCCGCGTTTCGGGCTCAAAGGCTGAAAGTTCCGGGCGTGGCACTCTGAGCAATCGAAGCTACGGCTCCAGCAACCGGGAGTTCCGGCTTCAGAGCCCGGAACGCCGGTTTGTCTATATAGCCCGTAACTTTTTTCTTTTTCAGTGCAGGAAATATTTATCTTTGAAGAAAGTTACAAATATTTCTCCTTGAAATCTTCAGACTTTTTAGACGAAATTACGAGCGAAATCCTCTGAAAAATCGGAAGAGAAATATTCACAAACCCTGAAAATGCATGATTTGTCGAAGGAGATTTTGCAATGTCTCGCAGTGGATCGAGGCAATCGTAGATGTCGGACATAAAATTTTCGACCAAAACTGCGAATGTTGATGTTTAAATTCGTCACATTCTCAAATTCGAGGGGTTCTTCTGGAAGAAAATTTCAAGAGGAAACCAATGAAACCATTCACTGGAAAAAAAAAACACATTGGATCTAGAGTCCAGACTCTTGAAAACATTGACAAGAAAAAATACTCTTGATTCAATCAGATCTAAGCTTAATTCAAAAGGAAATCCGCTCAAATTAAGAAGCTTGGTTCTTGATTTAAGCTTAAATCTGATTGAATCAAGAGTATTTTTTAGTGTCGATGTTTTTAAGAGTCTGGACTCTAGATCCAATGTGTTTTTTTTCCAGTGTTCTTGATTTAAGCAAAAATCCGATTGAATCAAGAGTATTTTTTCTTGTCGATGTTTATAAGAGACTGGACTCGAGATCCAATGTGTTTTTTTTCCACTGTGTACTTGGTTTGAATTAAGTTTGTCAAAGCGCGAACTTCTCTTAGCAGGAATTGCCCTTGGCGGTAAGTTACAGGGAAACCCCTCTAGATCCAATGTGTTTTTTCCAGCGTCCGTAATATCTCAAAATTTGATTTAAAGGAATTAATCGAAGTTTCCAAATTTTGTGCGACCTATCGAATTTACTCGATCCTTTGTGCGCCAGTTGGATTAAAACTCCAGTGCTTCATCGCGGTTTGACCGTGGAATTACCCTCCGTCCGGAATGAAGCCCATCCTAGAAGGGGTTGATTAGCAGTAATCGGGATGAATTCGAGGCCGAGAGGGTTTTCCCTGCGTCGGATGAAAGCGTCCCGAGACCGGGAGAGGGAATCCGTTTCGGGGACGCGGTTCTTACGGACACCTGCGTTCAAGTCACCGCGACGGTGAGCGCTCGTGAGTGGTACTTTGGCAGGTGCCACGGCGCGGCGCGCTTCGTGCACCCTCCCCGGAAGTCCTGCAACTCCCCGTCCGGGGATGAGCCTCGACAATAAGGGATGCGGATTTCCGCCCTTGCGCAGGATCAAGGGCGAGTACGCATTTCACGCCTTCCGAGTTCCGCATTGCCTCCCGCAAGTAGCACGAATGGAAGTTTAAGCAATTCCACACAGCGTGGAAGGAAGGCTCGTCTTCATTAGACATTTTGCACCGTCAACCCTGGTAAAAGAATTGCTGTAGGATCTGTGTTTCGAAATACCCCAGACAGGTTTGCCACAGTCAGAGAGTTTTAAAAAGTCAGGGAAAAGGACGAAAATGTTCGAGAAAAATCGTAAAGTCACACTGGAAACAGAAACACATTGGATCTAGAGTACAGACTCTTAAAAACATCGACAAGAAAAAGTACTCTCGATTCAATCAGAATCTAGCTTAAATCAAGAACCAAGCCTCTTAATTTAAGCGGATTTCCTTTTGATTCAAGCAAAAATCCGATTGAATCAAGAGTATTTTTTCTTGTCAATGTTTTCAAGAGTCTAGACTCTAGATCCAATGTGGTTTTTTTTCCAGTGCATTTTTAAGTATTTGCTTTCTAGAACGAGTTTGACGTTTCGATGAATTTTCGCCCGGAAACTATTTCTAATTATGTATTTTTAACCGTCTGGTATATCTTCAATTGTCAGTGAATTTCACCTAAATGTGTCAGGGAATTTCAATTTATAAATCCTGGGGCAACCTTGCATAGACCTACAGCTGGCTGTAAGACTTCGCATAGCTTCTATAGCCGGCTATATAATTCGGAGTCGGACGTTTTTACGCCAAAGGAACTATGTGCCTAGGGCTTGCGTGCAACATAGCTCCTTTTAGCATAAATACATTCATTTCTTGTAACTTTTTATAGCCAATGGAGATAAAGTTATAGCCAGGCGATAAACTGCATAGCCCGGCGATAGGAACCAGTCCGGTTGTACGATTTTCTTTACTTTCTATTGCCAGCTATATGATTCTCTATCGCTTCCTTTGACCGGCTACAAGAATTCCTATGGTATTTTGGAACGCAACCCCTACAGCCAATTTTTACCAAGGAATGATAAACGAATTTTGACCCGCGAATATACTCTTCTGGTAATACAATTCTATTGTACCAAATTGGCGAAATACTTCTTAACACAATCAGAACCAAGTATAAGGTAGAATGTAACTCGCTCTTCTGAACGGAATGCGGCTGCGACGAATCTAAGATAAAATCCGCCGATGTAGAACACTGGAAAAAAATTGGCCTCCGGCCAATTTATGCGCGGCGCTTCGCGCCGGCATTTGGGGGGCTTCGCCCCCCCCATCCACTTAGCGGATTGGTGCGGGGACCGCACGGGACTTTCTCGCTCGAGCCGCCGCTTCGCGCCGGCATAGACACTTTTACTGGAATATTTAGAAAAATACTGCCAATTTTACAAAATCATAAAGTTTGATTGGAATTTTGATCACAGGATAATAGTTATGAAATTTTTATTCAAACCACTGAACTTTATTGTAAATGTCTTCGCGATATGTGATGAATTCATATATTCGGACTCGACTTGTTGATTTTATGAGGCATCTTCAATTAAATATGTAATTGATTAACAAAGTCTTCTGTCAAAGATGGCGATCCGTAAAAATGTTAGCTTTTCTACGATTCATTAGGATCCATTAGATTCATTGACATCATACTTCAGATACGATTTTATATTATAATCTCTCCTTAAGCACGGTCAAAAGCCATCAAATATCTACTTGAATGGGTAGAATGACTATTCGATGTTCAAATAGTCTTAAAACTAAACGGTTTTCGCTTAGCATCTCCCAAATTTTAAATTTGGCGGGCGAATCTACCTGCTGGAAGGTTCACCACACGCCCGCCAGGAGCGCCATCTCCTTACCGCGTATCCCTGTAATTCAAAGCGAAAACAATAGAGAGCGCTGAGAGCGCCATCTCCTTGCTGCTGTCGACAAACGTCAACATACCTCGGATTCTAACAATTTATAACCTCCTTTATTAAGTAACAAGCATTTAATC